AAAAGTGGTTATCAGGTCTTACGTATGATCATGAAATCAACATTAAGCACACCTTGAAGACAATAGGAACGTTTACCTTGCAAACGGTGCTCCCGTCTAATATCTATTGCAGCACAAATTTGGGAAACACCGGTCCATTTCGAAGCCTTGCCCCTGTGGCCACGCCCACCCGGGTATCTAAGTCACGTTGCCAAGGAAGTTGAAGGGACCCGTCCACAACGAAGTGGACGAGTTGCGCCCGTGAAAGCCGTCGGGCATTTTTTCCGGGTGTAGGTTTAGGCGGCAGTAGGCGACAGTACGAATCTGTGATATTTACACCAAAGAATTTTAAAAAATACTGGTGTGTGGACGAGAACTGTGGAGCTCTCACCACCGGGAATACCTAATAAGCACACCGGCTCTCAGGCTAGTATAAAACAGCAGAAAGTGAGCAAAAACAGCATATAAGAGTGTATGTGAGTTAACAATTGTAACTAGCTGGCAACGCGAAGACGTCAAATCTTATGCAATTTCTGATTACACAGAACACACCACAGTTTACGAACGATATTGCCGTTCGTGTGACCGCTTCCAAGCGCGGCTTTTCCCCAGTCCCTAAGTTTTTCCTTAATTTCTGGTTGCACGTTCGTTGTCGAAGCTGTTGAATTAAGGGTAGCACATTCTTATTGGTATATATGGTCGAGATGCCCGAGATTCCGTGGAAAATATAGTTTTTTGGGCAATTTTTCAGTGTTGCTTGGTGCCGCTGTTTGTGACTGTCACCGAGAAGAACTTCTTGGATCCAGCTGGCTATGGGCTTCCTCTGGAGTTTGTCGAAGTTTGTTCAGTTACACTTTATTGGTAATGTTGAAGGTCTCCTAAGCATCCATGTTACGTATTGTTTCAGGTTCTCCATCAAGGTGGCGCTGGTTGCAGGAGCAGTGAAGCTTTCAATAGACAACGACATTTGGTCTCTAAGCACTACAAATGTTAGTTCCTTCTCAGAACGGCACATGATTTATCTTAGAGCGCGTTCAGACTTCGTATCGCGTAAACCAGATCCCGCGGACTAGATAGCGCGAATGGTTCGCGCGATTGGGATGGGTGAAATTCAAACAGAACGGTAACTTCAGTAGGCGAACAAACAATTTCTCAATCAAAGTAAGGATCTGTCGTAGTTCAAAGACGGCGAGCATCGGAATGGGGAAACAGAA